GGAGGAGAGATGGGAAGTGTGTCTGTGCATGTGTGCCCTCCTTAAAATTCCCAGGAGAGACAGAGGCAGAGATAACATTGTATAAGCAAGACAGATAATGGGTAGAAAACAGAGGAAACCGCCTGGGGAGAGCAGGATAAAGAATAAGGAATGCAAGGAGGAAAGTTAAACACCTTGAGAGTTCATGAACAGCAGAGACACTTTTAATCACATTCAAAAGCTATCTCACACACGTGTGCATGCGCTTACATACCGAGAGACGCAGTCATCATGTGACACCCTCTGAAGTATCCCGTTATTTGCCGGTTTCCTTTCAGTCCTTCAACTCCAAAGTCTTTATCCCTGTGTGGTATGTTCTGCCTGAATGAAACTCTCCCTATTACAACAATCTCCTCGCTCTACCTCTCTTCTCCTATCTGAGCGTGGCTTGCTGAAGTTTCAATTTTTTTTGTTCAGGGGCTGGATCGTTTCGCCGCCATGCCCAATTCCTTTCGTCCCCCAGATGGAAAAATAAGCTCCCCGTTTGTTCCTGGCTTGTTGTGACACCGCTCAACTTCTGGGTTTGTATAGAGGGAGGGGTAAGAGGGAGAGAATGTCTCCCCCCTCCCCTCAATGCATCTAATAACCCTCCCTCCCACCCTCCCCTTCCTCTCACTGACCACTGAGCATTGTCCCTGCTGGGCCACTGCGAGCACTTTCCCCCAATCAGAATGGATTCCAGCAGGGTCAGAGGTCATGTGTGGCCTTTTATGGACCAGTGAAGAGCTGGTGGTGGTTAGAGGTTTGAGGGGGGGGCTGATCTAGGGGTTTCTATGGCCTCTCTGTCAAGGCATGTGTGTCCACTCCTACCATCTGCTCGCCACAAACACGGAGACAAAGGCATGCAGACATACACTGACCGTGTCTCCTGTCATGTGTCTAATCCTAGCACATCGTAAATTACACCACAAAGCTTTTGATTGAATTGGGTTGAGTTTACTTTTGTTGTACCGGAAACCTGTGCTGCTTACATTATTTTAACCTCCGTGTCACAGGAAATGAGCTCTGTCCATCTGGGATGCTCATTCATCAGTTTAAAGGCCCAAATATTTTGTTTATAAAACGACAGGCCAGTATAATATGTAAACAAAAAACCTTTAAAAGTATGATAAAAAAGTTAACATAAGATGTGGTTTCATGGTTTTTGGTATGTTTATTCACTTTAATGTCATGGCTCAATGATAAAAACCACACCGTTCATTTTGAAGTTGACGAGCTAGTTAGCATAGTTTAGCATAAAGGCTTCAGACAGAGGGAAACTTCTATTCTGGCTCTGTCAATACAATCTGCTCACGAAAATATCTAAAGCTCACTAATTAGCACGTTATATTAGACTGAAGCATATGGTTGGCAAACTGTGTTACCTTGGCACAGAGCCATGCTAGCTGTTTCCCACTGTATCATGTACGTATTTAAGCTAGGCTAAGCTAACCAGCCCCATAATAATCTAGGAAAACCTTTGTGATAAAAATTGATCTTTTTATCTAGTTTCCGTAAATGTTGTACTGTTCCTTGAAGTAAAATCACTAAAGGATTTTGTAGATAGCAGTGTTCCTTTAAGCAAAGTGGATATTGTAATATTACCAATAGTTTATTAATAATTTAACTTAAAAATAATGAAATTGTTTATGATGATTTAAAAAAGAATGTTTTCTGGAATCACTGAAAAACCTTTTTAAAGGATGAGGAAACATTATTAACTTAGAAATGGTTGTTGTATGGTGTTGGTTAAAAACCTTTCAATCACTTTTAGCATCTTTTAGCAGCTCTCACTCATTTTGTTTACATTTCGATGAACAATTGTTCCCTGAACTGTTGTCGAACACATCATTAAATCGACTTCAAACCTTCCCTTTCTTCAGGATAAATAACGGCACTTAAAACTTAATGTCTATCAACTCTCTCTCGGTCGTCATTGACCGCAAAATAAAGCATCTGAAGGAGAAGCATAGGTTTCCCCTGCCCTCTCCTGACCTTTGACCCCTGAGGTTCAGACAGTCAAGTGTTTGTCTGAAAGACCATCTGCCTCTGCTGAACCTCCGCTCATAACAGCATCTACATTCCTCTGGCTGGACCCCGCTTCCTCTGGTTAAGAGCTTCTGCATATATATCACTGTTTATTTTTGATTTGGCCACAAGTACACAAAGGAAATGTTATTGCGTAACAGTTTATTGCTGCGCTTTGCTGTCACCAGGAAATGAAAGGACACAGAGAGAGTTCATCTTTGGGTTGATTCATGGAAAAAAATACTGCAGTGACTCTGCAAAGGCTATGTATGAAAATATGTCATCAGTCTGTTGTAACTAAAACCCAGATAAGTGTATTTGATACAATTTTGTTAATTTCCATGATTCTCCCTTAGTCTTTAAGATGTATATGCTTTTTAAAAGCTTTCTTTGACTTTCAAGGTTCAAGAAATTGTAGTTCAACCTAAAAAGATTAGATAAAGTCAAGGTGTTTTCTCAATGATCATGTTTGTCACCCAACAGTCTCATAACATTTAGTATTTGACATTTCTGTGTTTATTTAAGCAATCGCTATAAGCACAGATTTGGCGATTTGGCAGGTGAAAAGCCGCCTAGCTGTCTTAACAGGGATACATTTGGTTTAAGAATGTAGTTTAGTCTAAAACTGTAAATACATTCAAATGTTCAACCAAATTTAACGTATATTTAATATAGAGTTTTAAACGTAGGTATGTGGACTTTTTTGATCACAAAAATGTATTCATCATGGAATGTCTTTCTGTATGATAACCTAACACAAAAACCAGCACACACAACACACCCGGCTCCCAGATTGCCCAGTGTGATTACCGTGCTGATAGTAGCACAGTGGAAACACAGCTGAAGGGCTCGGCAAGGCTCACTGAGTGCTCTCTGTTGTTTTGGAGCGGTCTGCTGCTGCCCACAGTAATCACTCCCCACATTACAGTAGCCTCAGGTCAGACTGTGCTTACAGTAATGACCCTTAACATTGAATAGTACAAATAATTTAAATTGGGGATCTGACTGTTCTGTCCCGACGTGGCACATTTTTTCCCAGACAATTGTTTGACTTTAATGTGGGAAACAGGAAACTGTTGTCTGCAAACTGGGGGTGAGCTCCAGATATTTTGCACCCTTTGTTAATTCTTCTGTCCATCCAGCGCAGAAAGAATAATCAGGTGTTTTTTCTGTATTCACAGAATAATGACTCTTTCATCAACTCTTTCTCCATCCTGTAACTGCTCTGTTCCGACAAACATATTTACGATAAACAGTTGGAACTGCCCTTTTAAGTTAACAATCTGTCTGCAATGCAAAACAAAATGGCATCATAAATACTACTTTTTTGGTTTTGTTGTCGATAATATGTTATGGTCACAATATTGTCAAAATTTTCTGCAGTAGAAGGGAAAACTATATACAGATAGGATCGACTTAAACTGTGTAAACTGATAAATAGGCTTGATATTAACATTTTGCCATTATATTTGAAGACTTAACCAAGCAGCTCAAGTTTTTTATTCAAGGGGGGGTCTTCTTTAATTTAAGGCAGAGGGACTGACAAAAACTGGTCGGAGTTCTGCACAGTGAAAAGATACTCTTCACTCGTTGCCTATTGACTGCATATAAATTATACTCCAGAAGAATACCAGTTTGCGACAAAAGTATAAATCCAGTGTGTAAAAATTCATTAAATCGTCTGAATGTAGTATTTGGTTATCCAAAAACAGATCAATTGTTTCACGAGGGACATCTATCAGTGTAGTAGTCAAGTCACCAAGTCTCGAGTCCGAGTCACTCTCGAGTCCCCACTCCTCGTGTCCGAGTCCAAGTCTGAGTCACTGAAGAAGAGGTCGAGTCAGACTCAATTCCGAGTCCAGGACTCGAGTAATCCAAGTCTGACATCAATATATGATATTTCCCTCTCTCATACACTGAGTTCATAAAATAGTAGTTACCTTAACCAAATGTTGTGAGTACTAATCTAGATAAAACAATACATCTATAAGGGCCACATTATACCTTATGTCAGGCTAGATTTGGCATGAGAGGCCCCCTTTCTGGAATCCTGTTCCCCTGCCATTATTTTTGTTAGGGCCAGTTAACTTTTGGCTGAGGCAAAGGCAGGCAGCCATGCCAGGATACAGAAATAGCATGTTTATCCTTCAGATTTACCATGTTTTATACTTGATTCACAACATTATATTCAGTCCACAAACACTTAAACAGAAACTGTTGAAATTAATTTTTCACCAAAGCTTATTTACCAGGGTGAAATGATTAAAGTTGCTTCCCAACACCACCACCCTCTCGACATTACTGATCATCAATTGATTTTTTTTAGCTTCAACAGGAACATCCCAGTCACTTATAGATATATCAGATTTAAGACACTACCACTCAAAGACGCTTGTGTTTTTTGACACTACAATACATTCCTTCTGTAGCTGTGTGGTACATATCTCCTCAGGCAGGATGTCCCAGCAACAAAAGACCCTCCCCACTCCTCCCGTCCCCTCCCAGAACAGGACGTGAGTGTGTATCCTGCCTGCAGTGGTCTCTTCCTCTGTTACCATCAACTATTATTAGTTCCAGTATCAGCTGTCCCTAAATGGGCCTGAAAGGATCCCAATCCATTTCATCAAGTCCTCCAAACACTTTCTACCTTAAACCTAAGAATAATAAGTAAGCCATCCGTATTCCTCTAGACAGACATGACCTACCAGAAACAGAGCCATACCCACATATGCAGCCAATAGCAACAAAGTACAGGCCAGGTGTGTGTGCGTGTTTTGGGTATATAGTGCCAGGAGGACATTCCAGCCAGCCCTTGAACCCTGTCCAGCAGCAATCATTAGAACAAGTGTTTGGCTTTACACTCTTATGCCAGTCACACACACACACACACACACACACACACACACACACACACACACACACACACACACACACGTTCACACACACAAGTGTACCTTGTGTTGAGCTGTGTTGGTCCCACTGCCCGCTAGTCCGGAGCTGGGAAAACTCTGAGAAATGTTTCACTGGGAAAAGAAGAGAAGACCCTGATAAGATTCCAAAATGCAGACCCACCCACATCAAGAAGTGTCCATTGGGACCATATCTCTTACCGTAGGGCGTTGGAGGAGACACTGGGAAGCCTGGAGTAGGTGGGACAATGTCAGAACCATCTGTCTCTCCCCGATAGTCCACGCTGTTGGTTTTGTAGGGATGCCCATGCTTCCAAAAAAGAATTAAAAAAGTCAGAAAGAAATTAGGGGAAAAACACAATAACATGTTGTTGTCTTATAGGGTAACAAGCCCACACACACACACAGCAGCACACACCAGCACACACCAGCAGACATCAGTCTTGTGATTTGTGTGTGGCTACAGGCTGTGTTTTGGTGTAAACAGTTGGGCCATTCATGCCGCCCAGCCATAAGAGTGCAAGAGCAGAAACCAAAAAGAAAAGCAATACAGAGAGAGAAAGGGAGTAGGGTAGAAAAAGAACATCTATAATGATGCAGGTTCAGTAACATTATCTCAAAAGAGATATTTTAACTGATCTTGAAGTGATAACCATGTGTTATCATTTTTGTCATCTAATTATCTAACACATTAATTTAATTTATTGTCCAAATGTTTTGTCAGATGGTTTAAAAACAGTGTAATCTGATCAGGGCTGTTGACATGACACTTATAACGGGTCAGACATAAGACCAGTATTCAAAGCGATGTTTATAGACGTACTTGTCTATAAGTGTGGGTGAAGTTCGACTACTAGAAGTCAAAGTTCACAGAGGTGAACCAGGAAACTGTGTTTACCTGAGCTGGTGAGAAAGGGGGACTGTAGTAGGCTGGGGATCCTCTGAAGCTCTGACCCCCCTTCCATCCTGGGCTATGGAGACCAGCGTAGTCCGTCACATCACTGACCTTCATCTGCTGCTTCCAACCTGAGATAAGAGAAGGGTGAGGAGAGAAAGAGCGTGGGAGTTGAGCCAGACAGTCAGACAGATCGTGATCTGAAATATAATCAACCAAAGAGTCAAACCTTTTTATATCTACAGTATCTATCTAAATATCCACACGCAGCTATGTCTTTACTTGTAAAAGAAACACATAACATCAACTAGTAATTATGGTATCAGATCAGATAGTAATAAAAGGTGATGACAGTAGTAAAGTGTGTTTGTCTCTTTCAAAACAGTCTATCAGTGTCTTCGTCAGCTCTGTGTAGCTCCTGTCATCAGGGCAGATTCTGTGTGAGTTAAACAAGACCTCAGTGTGACCAGATGGTGGAACATCATGGCGACTTGTTGGGAAATAAAATCTTAATGAACAGTCAGTGATGGGAAGCGATCATTAAGAGCACAACCACACATTTTGGTTTTATCTAACTGGTTTAAAAAAGATTCATAGCATATATTATTCCCCTAACGCATCAGAATTGGACAACATGTCGGCTGATTAAATAACAGATAATAACACCTTTTGTCCTCTAGAAGTTAATTTTTTAACTGTCTAATGTCCTACTCATTACATAGCTTGTGCCTAATACATTTATAACAACATTGAAGGAATCCTTTTTTGACATGTTTGTACCCTGTAAAAATGCATTAATAAGACATAAACCTTCAGTGTAAGCACTGAAATGATATATTTATAATCGGCCTCTTTTGCTCCCCAAGTAGACTGTTTACCTGGATTCAAAGCCAGCTCCTTTGTGATTATTCCCACGACAAATGGACAAGAACTCAAAAACCAGATTGCGTAGAATAACAACATCTTGACCCATTGCCTAGAGATTCTGCATGTATGTGAAGATATCAGTTTAAAAAGATTACAAGGGAAGGGAAGAACCATTAACACATATTTTTAAATCTGCAGCAAAGGGAAAGGTGGCAAAAATAGTAAGTAAACCTACTCTGTTTCCATTATTCTTTTTCACCTTGATTAGCAAACAGTAAGCATGCTAATGGTTGTAGCAGTTGTGTTGTTGTTGCTGGAGTGAGCCAGGTTTGTGGATATTTATTTGACCCAAAACTTCAATATTGGCAATACAGGGGCTGATTTTGTGTTAATATGTATAGGCAACAATAGTCATGTAGATTTGATAATATATTTGTATTATTATAGTCTTTTTATCCATTCTTCTTTGCTAAAACAAACAAATTAATTGTGAATATTATTCTATTTTTACTTTTTTGCAACTGCATAACCACAGTCTGACATGTGTGTCAAGACAGAGATTGACCATGCTTGCATATGATACTCTATATACTGTAAACTGTAAACCCCAATATGGAACACTGTGAGCTCAGCTTTCATTGTGAGCGTCCATCATCTCATCTCTGCTAGTCCAACTAAAACTAATCCAGTTCCTCTTCTACACCGGACGGCCCGCCGAGAGCTCTTCTACAGAGTTTTTGTATCTTCACAGTGTCAAGTAGCACTTGATACACGCTGTATTCGTGAGGAGGCTCCTCTCTTTTGAAGACTGCACTTCCAAAGATGATGAGAGGGAGAAGGAAGGCATGATGCAAACACACTGGAGAGCAAAGTGTTGTGTCAAACTTCAAAAGCATTCCTGATCGCTTACGAACTCCTGCCACGAAACATCGCCTTGAAAAACACATATTGGTGAAATATTGGTGTTAATGCTACAAATATACCCCCGGGAAATATCCCCCTGACAAACTCGATGACCTACATACACACAAACCCACATGTTCCATTTCCTGTGCTGAAATTCTCTCATTGACCTGACAGTGTACAAAAACACAGGGTCCCTGCAAGGCACATGGCCTTGGGTCAAAGGTAACCGCAGTGGGGATCTTCAAATCATGAATCGGGAGCTGTCAAAGCCTTTCTTGAGTGTCAGGAGCTCCCACGTGAACCATCAGGCCACTCTGAGGTTAGCTTTGATGGAGCAGCTGCTCTGTACACAAATAACTGGGAAGTAATGACACCACCTGTACACCTATAACCCTTAGTCCTCAAAATGAAAATGAATCAAGTGCGGAGGTCGCAACAGAAATGTGTGTTTTCCTCGTGGTTGCGTCCCAGTGGATATGAGAGGGAGTAAATCTGTCATGAGTCCCAGCAGGGGGAGAAAATAATAGTGAAGAGGAGGCAACGCAGACACACATGTGTCAGAAAAACAGGCCCCATCACTGTTCAGGTTCAAGTTTTTAAAAGGTGTGACAATGTTGTTATGCCAGAACCTAAAAATACCGGATCAAGTCCCTTACATTATTCACTTGCACTCCAAAACAAGTGATCTTTTGCAAAAACAACTTTTCCTCACGCTTTTAACACCACAGGATTGGTTGCACCTCTGATTTGGTCAAAGGATCAATGTTGAATTGCACTGGATATCAGATTATTTTTAAGACAAACAGCTGACGTCCAACTCAATCATTGGTTTGAGTGAGATGGTGAATACACTTCATCAGAATATCTTTCTATTGATCCCTTCCAGTCAGATAGTAAAATTAAATTAAGGAACACCTTTTGTCTCTTAACACATTGAGTTTAGAACTCAAGTTCCTAATGTCGTGAATAAACTGCGGTTTTGTCTTTTTTTGTACGTTAGAAACATTTTAATAAAAAATAAAAAATGTAAACACCGACTAGAAATCCTATGTAATATGTGATTAAACACTCCCCAGTCGTGTTTATATTTTGATTGGACTCTCAGACTTATGACCTGTGTGCTCTATGTTTACTCTTCAACTGTTGCACGATTGCCATATAAGCAAAACAGGCCCTTCAAATAATATCAAATTAACTCTGCCCTTTTACATTAGTTTGTATGGCATAGATATCTGAAGGTCATAAACCAATGATATCATGCCTGAATTGCTTAAGTGGGCATAGTGGTGATAATTCTGTAGAGGTCTGAATGGTTACTTGGTTAAATTCCTAAACAAGTAAAGATAAAGTCTTCCTAGTGAGTCTATCTTATGTACACTGCAAGTATTTGGGTAAATGTAATTTAAAACACATTTGTGTTATCATACCAACTGGGGGCATTTTCCACATTATATCATCAGATATGGTACACCCCTAGACTGCCATGTAGTTAACCATTAAAAAATGAACCAATAAGTTCAACTTTACCTTTTAAAACGTCTTTATCAGGATTTTAAGTATTGTTGTTTTAGTTTAATCAGAAATGAAGCATTGGGTGTCAGATCTAAATCTTCTAAACCTCTGAGCTCTTTCCAATTATTGGCTCATGAGAAACTTATTGATCATTATCATATCCCACTATGTTGAAGTAATGAATGTAACCTTGTTCAGCTGCTTGCTAAACCATACATTCTGTAATTATGTCAGTGGATTATGTTTTGATGGCATACCTTATTCTGGGCTTTACTTTGATTGGTCCGTCTTTGGACATTTTCCCCTTATGTCACTTTTTATTCCAGTTCTGTATACTTCCAGTCAAGCTAAGACATATTGTATGGTGAACACAGGCCATATACTAGTTACATTGCAGGGATATCCACTTCCTGTTTAATGAAATGCTTCCACCCTTCCAGCAAATACCATGTACACTAACAAACACACCTTCTGTAACACACACACACACACACACACACACACACACACACACACACACACACACACACACACACCTCTCTCAGGTGGAGATTTCCACAATCAGGCTGTCCTTCAGTCCCTGGTTATAAATGGTTCTCTGTTTATGCCATCTGAACCAAGCTCCACAATATAACAAGTCCAACCTAAGAGCTGAATCTGCCCACCACCTTTTTGGCACACATGTATTTTCTTAAGTGTGGCATTCCATCCAGGCAAACCGTCACAGTGGACTTTTTGTGCCTCTGTAAGAGTAGAGCTATGTAAAGGTACTCCTATAATTTACCAAGGTAAATGAATAGTTTACCCAAAGCAGCTACATTTTTAGTGATAGCTGTATTTTGCAAATCCAAAAAAGGTTAAATGGCTTGTAATATCCGTCTCATACGGATCCACACACGTTAGCAGCTCTCTAAGTCTTTTTTAGGCAGATATTTTAGATGTAACAATGTTACGATCTAGTAGGTATAATGTTACCTCCAAGTTTTCCACGTTAGAATGCTAACATTTGCAAATAAGCTCTTAGAACAGTGCTGCTGTGCTGACCCTGATGGGAATGAGATTAGTTGTGCAGATGTTTGGTCACAAACCAAAGTCTTGGACCATGTCTGTACCAAATGTCATGGCAATACATCTAATAGCTGTTTAAAAGCTGAAATGTCACACTTGTCTTGGCACTTTAGGAAAAGTCAGAGGATCTCCAAAGCGTAGAGGATTAATTTTCAAAATACCTCCAAAAAGCAAAACATTTTCGAGATTTTATGATATTGTTTTAAATTATTAGAAATATCTTACCTGACATATTGGTATTTCCCTTGTGGCTGAGGCCATTGGTGTGGAGGGAGGCTGATCGGGACAGGGGGGCACAGCTGGTAGGAACAGGAATAAAAGTGGGGTCCAAATCCAAAATGAGCTGGTTCAGCTGTTCAATGGACTCATCAATGTCTGTAGTTAATGAAGACAAATCCTCTTCTTGGCAAGACAAACCCTGTCTAGTATTGACGGACTGTATGTTGTGGGTAACGTCTGTGCTAAGTGGGACGTTATGTGTGCCGTCCTCGTCCTCCAGTCCCCTCTGCACTGCCTCCCTGCTGCTGAATCCTCGAGGTGGTGTCCCAGGAACTACCAGAGGTGGAGGCCTCTCTTTCCTCAACCTGTTTAACCTCTCGCCCCCATCAACTTGAAGTTGAATATCGGAGACGACGTCAACCATTTGCTGCTGCTGAACCCAGGAGTGTGTGGAGTACTCAGTGTGGGACGATGTCTGAGTCTCGGGCAGGTTCTCAGAGGAGAGGGAGCAGATGCTGCTTGAGCTCGGCACGTCTGAAACAGGAGCCGCCTCACTGTCAACTTCGTCCTCATCATCTAATATATCCGTTTCCCTCTCGCTGGATGAAGCCTCTCCATTGATAGTGTGTTCCATTCCTCCAGTCATCTCCCCTCGACCTGAAGCAGCGAGCTCTGTCATGACCTCCAGAAGAGGTTGAACAATCTCAAAGTCCACCCCAGGGAACAGCCTCCCGGCCTGGGTGCCCTTCTCCCGTGCAGCCCCTCTCCTCGGTCCGGCTGTGGCCCACCCGTGTGAGGCAACAGACAGGCCTGAGTCGCTGCTGGCAGACGGAGCGCGGTCGCTCCAGCCGGGGCTGCTGACGCTCAAGTGGAACGAAGCACCTTGCTCAATATTCTTTCTCACTCCAGGGTCCAGGACATGAGGTGGGGCTGTGATGACAAAAACAAAAAGGTCAGAAGAAGATGTATATGTTGGCAGAAGAGTGAAAACAGATGGGAGCGTGACCTGTTGAAGCATGGGTAGCTTTGCTGTCAGAAGTTAAGTGGACATGATGAGTGAACTACAAATAACAAACAAAAAGTTGCGATTTAAATATTAAGAAACTTGGCATCATTTTAGGAACTAATTACCTGTACATCAAAATAAGGGCTTTATCTAACTTTCTTTATACAGTAGATTTTATTATCAATCATGTTTTCTATTAATAAATCATGTGGTCTAAAAAATGTCATAGAGCTCAAGAAGTCCCAAAGATATTCAATTCCCAAGAGAAATGGCGAGCATTCACGTTTTGCAATATTCATTGCACGTTTTATTGATTCAATTGGATATTCTTCTAGCTGTAAATAAAGTTAAACATTCTCAAAAAAGCTGTGCAGCAGTTCGATCAATTTGAAGTTTACAGCAGCATATATAAGTGTAATATTTTTACGTAAAGTAGAAAGTACACCTTTGGATTGAGGATATTCTTACTATATATGACTCCATACCTACCCCAATACTGTATGTGAGTCACAGTGACTAAAACACACACAGACACACACCTGTTGGACCCCAGCCATAACTCCAGACACACTCCATGTAGATAACATAGAGGCTCTTTGTGTGGGCTGTCGGATGCATACGTGTGTCATTTGTGTATGCGTGTGTCACGCAAAGGACATGTCTGTCATAGACGTGTACCTGAGATCAGGTAGAGCTGATTGCGCGCACATGCACACACACACACACACACACACACACACACACACACACACACACACACACACACACACACACACACACACACACACACACACACAAACACATGCAGATAGTAGTACTGTACGTTCACTCACTGATCTTTACTGTATAACTTTCACAATACTATAAAAAGCTTCTGTAAAAAGGACACTAAAATGCCCAACTAACATCAAAAAGCAGCTTACTTACTCACCAGCAGTCAGGAGTTAACTTTCACTGTTGCCACTGCGGACTAGAAACAGGATGCAAATGCTTGCTGAAGCCTCCCTCCGGAGTCAGAGAAAGAGGAAAAGAGAAACAGATGACAAGCGGACAGGAAAGAGGGGTGCAAGGACCGGGACAGAATGAAAAGGATGAGGCGCCAGACAGAAAGAGAAAGGGAGGCTGAAAAAGATTCAGACCGGCATGTAGGTAGTAGCTCCTCTGCTGTCGTCCTCTCAGGCTGCCGCAGGAAGACAAGCAAAGAACATTCTTTCTCTGAAGGTGCTAACAGCCCCCCTGCATCCCCCCACCTCCTACTCTCTCTTTCCCCTCTCATGTCACTCCTTCTGCACTACAAATCCCCGCCTTCCCCGGCCGTCACTACAGAACCAAGCTCCGCTTTGCCTCATCCCTCCTCCTCTTTCCTACCCCCCTGCATCCTGTCCCGGCTGACACAGGTACAGGCAACGCTGTGCAGAGTGTGTGCACTCATGCGTGTTTAAATGTGCGAGGGGGGAACGCAGTAGGAAACTGTTGGATGGATCATTCACTAGACTGCATGCATGCACACAGGTGGAAGCACATGATGCACTTTCAAGTAAAGAAACAAAGTACAAAGACATTGAGCTGGCCAAATACGGAGAGGGGAATGTAAACATGGGGGCAGGTTCTGGAGAGACTTGTGTGCAGAAGGGGGATGGGGATAAATTGGAAAAATTGCAACCTGCAACTTGAACCTGAGAGCAACACGCTTCAGCTAGAAAACAAGCAGACCAGATAAAGGGGAAGAGTAGAAAAGCAGATGGAGTGATAGAAGAAGTGGAGTGGGCTGAGAGGGTAAAGTAGAACCACCTGTGGTTGAAAACAACATTCTTGGGACTGGCTGCGTTGCTAACTGGCTGGCACCCTCATTATGCTCATGTGCATGCGTGTGTGCTGGCGGTTAAGCGTAATGGCCATGTGTGTTTGCCTTTTGTGTAAATGTGCGTTTACATGCCACTCGCATTTCTGCCCCAGTGATCGGTCCAGCTAAATTACATGGCTGGCAGAGCAGATTTAGCAACAGCATAAAACAGCTGGAACTGAAACCTTAACCGCCCGGTTAAGTGATTGTTTCAGCTGTCTGGGTGTGTGTTTTTCTGTTTGTGTTTTTCTGTGTGTGAGTGGTTGTTCTGACTAAATGGAAACTCTTTGACAAACAGTCGCCTCCGAATCCACGGGTCCGGTCTGGCTGCTGTCTGGAGGATTGTCGTTACGCCCATTCCCAGGAATATCGTTGTGACCGCAGCAGTTGTAAGCTGTCAATCTGATGACCAGAAAATTACTCACAGAACTGACCGCAGCGAGGGCCTGAGTCGAAACAGAACTGCTCATAGACTGGATCTACACCTACAGGGGGATGCAGATCTAGTCACTGTGAAGATCTGTTATGACTTCTGAAGAGCAGCGACAGATGCTTAAGCTGATTTATTTTGGCCACTAAGCTAAAAATCACTTACTTTGACATACCATCTTTTAAAGTTGTTATGGCAAACATGCTAGCAAACAGCTGCCTACTTCCATATTCATCTACTGGGGTTGGTGTTCACCTGATAAATGTAAGTCCAAATGTCACTCTTTTTATCTCTGTTTTGGCCTCCATCAAAGAGAAGGAATTAGATCAGAATGGACCTCCCCATTCAAATCTATATAGCAGGATGATCAGAGCAACCGCATATTTTGTCCCCCTTGATATTGCAAAGACTGGCCAGATAATGGTAGCGGGCTAACTTCCATCTAAGGGGGCTTGCGGAACGTCACGGACAAAAAAATGTTGGGAAGATGTACAGCAATGATCTAGGATCTAGGGAATCTAGGAAGCAGTGGATGTACGATGTCCAAGAGTCTTTGGTTGATTTTTGATTATTGTCTGTGTAACTTGTTAAGTAAGACTGAGGCAAATGTAAATGTGCACCTAAACCAAGACTATGAGCAAAAAGAGGCTAAAAAGCTCAGTAGAGCTGCAGAGATGATAATAATGATATGGGTTCAGCATTGACATCAAGGGATTTGACATGAGCAATCTTTTGAAAAATTGTAAGAGGACCAGAACTATTTGCTTAAAAGGGCTATAATTGATATTCTTCTCATAACAACAGCAAGCAGCCATCATGGAGCATTTAGAAGACAGATATTTCAGTCAGGAGTTGTTGGAGACCAAATCTTATACAGTATAAACATTGGTTTGTCCTTTTAAAAGTCAGAACTAAGCATTGGCATTCCAGTTCTCCTAAGGATGCCTTGGAAACAGAATAAAGGTCAACATTATGTAAGAGAAGGGCTGACAAGTGCTGTGTCTTCAAATGTATTGTTTCACTCCTAAATGCGGTCTAACTATAAAGTCACAACAGGAATCCAGAAACATCAGGATGAGAAAGGGTAAAAAAGAGAAACAGATGTAAGACAAATCATTCAGAACTGAAGTTGATGATCAAAAGACATGAAATGCACCTCACCTGTTTCAAGAGGAGATGCATCTTGATATGAATCTCTCCTGACCAAAGGGTCCAAGGTGTCATAGTCCACCGTCACACAGTGACCGTTGTGCCACAGCTCTCTGCCTGCACATGGAAATAACAAACAGCAGACAAAGAGGCTGGTCAGGAGTCAGTTAAACGACACACACACAATACAAACAGCTGATGCCAGATGTTATTTCAAATTTAGATTTTTGAAAAATTGTGATTTTAAATGAAGGCTTTGCTTCTACTGTGTGTGAGTGTGTCTGTGCGCCTGAATGTGTGTGGGTTTCCCCCCTGTGTTTTCCCCTGTACAGTATCCCCAATCTGAATTCCTGTCAGATGGGTGTGTGTGATAACTTCTCATATTGCTTCCTGTTTAGGGACGAGGAGTGTGAATGTGCGCATGAGGGCCAATTTGAGCTCCCGGTGCCCAACACTGCCCCCACCTGGGTGACTGTTTGTTGGATTTGATGAATATGTGCTTCATTCATGAGTAATAGGTGTGTGTTGCTGTGTGTGTGTGTTTCAGGTGTAATGTTTCAAATGGAGTCATGTCTGTCTCTTCTGCTTCAATTAGGAGACACAATGAGGCTTGACATAGTCTCGGCTTTCTGCATCTGTAGCCAAAATACTGTGTCTGTGTCAGAATGAGCGAGTGTGTGTAGGAGTCCAGGTGTTTGCATGCGTCAGTATGAGCAGGGCTTTCTAATTAGGGAGTCACAAGATGATTGACAGCAGAAAGAAAATTCCAAATAATTCTAATATCTCCTGGAAATTAATGGATAACATTTTAAAAACAGACATTAAAAACACAATATAAAATATACATTAACAGTATTTCCTTTGTTAAATTAGTGACAGGAAATGTGGTAGCCACTTTCACTGTCCCCAGAGGATCAATTCCCTTTCCTTTAGCGCCACCATGAGGTAAAAATCCAAATACCTGCAAAAGGAATGAAATTCCCAAGAGCCTCAGCTTCTCTTTTTGATGTATGGCATTGGTTATAAGCAAATGCTTACAGTATAAACTAACATGGTGAACATTTTACCTGCTAAACAACCACATGTTAACATTGTCATTGTAAACCATTTAGCATTTTGTTTAAAACAAGGCTGTGCCCGAGAACGTGTTTTTAGAGAAGTAGAGAAGAAAAGTGTAACAATAATACACAGAGAATCCAGAATCAAAGCTTTGCAAATACTTACTTAGAAAGACATATCAGTGTTTCCCATACATTGATGCATTTGTGGCGGGCTCCCACAATTAAATACCGTCCGCCAGAGTGCCGTTCCCCCACAAATAGAATCAAATTCTGTGGGAAACACTGCATCTACATAATTGAAACACCTGCGTACTTTGTTCAGTTACTGTATACAGTTCGTTGCATTTATGTTTGCTGGTGCCTTATGTTTGTGTAAGCTTGAGAGAAAGTGTACCTGTTATCTTTTCCGGGCTGTCAGAAAACCGCAGCTCTACTTTGCCCTCTTCTGGGAACCGGGGATCTGGAATATTAACACACAAATCGGACAGCTGGAGATATTTCCATGTACTTCACACCTGCCGCACAGCTGATACAGAGTTCAGGGTCAGCGCCGGTAGTTCATATTTACTTTGGAGGAAGACTAGAGGATTTATCGGTCACTGATTAAGATGGATATTGCATCAGAGTCTGATAGTGGCTGGAACAACAGTTAGCAGGATATACATACCTTCACTGGCACAGTCCAGGTCCGCCTTACTGAAAGTGAGGGTGTGTCCGTGCACGAGGCCCGTATGGAACTGGAGTCGGAAGACGACCTGCCTGCTGGCTGAGCGGCTGTTTTTATCATAACAAACCACCTAAAATCAGAAAGATGACACATGTCATGCTGCTCTATTATCTGATGTATCTGAGATAAAAGTCTTCTATTTGTTGCATAGTTATAGTTTCAGTAAATAAGGGTGAATAACGGCTTCAAGTCAATTTAGTTGTGAAGCAAAGCTAGTTTTTATATTTATTCTGTTTTAAGTTTTTAAATATTCTTATTTATTCTGTCATATTATTATACATTTCCGTCTGGACTTTACAGAACAAGAGATAGTAAGGGTTCCTTTTGCAGGTCCAACATTCCGAAATAATTTCTTAAGTACTTTCCTCATAGTATATATTATTTTCTAATATATATATATATATATTCAAATGAATTTCTATGTTCATCTTAAGAGTCTTTTAACTAGTGAATAAAATGTGAAATGTGTCCACATTTATGGATAATGTTTCCAATAATATATACATAATCAATTAATATTACCTGAGCTTCAATTGGAGCTTTCATTTAAAAACAAATCTTTTTTTGCTCTTGTACCATTTCATATTGTTTTTTCTTTCAAGAAACCTCTTTGAAAATATTTAGAAGCTGAAAAAATTATAGGACACAACTGATAATGGTGTACTGTAGAGCATCACTCACCATGATGTCTCCTTTGAGCAGCTGGGCTGGCTGGAGCACGAAGTAGAGCCGGTCTGTCTGGGCTGCATTAACATGGCTGAGATAAATATAAACACACATTACACACTGTAATCTTATCTGAAATATCCCACCATGTTTACAGATCATGATGTCATTTATTAACTTACTAGACTGCTGATGTGCAAACAGCTTGTAGACTCTGGTAGACTCTCAGGAAGAGACAGCATGCTAGGAAAATAAGATTTAGTACCAAATATTTTTTAACTTGAGAAGACGCTTTAGATTATAACCATCGAATTTCCATATTTCCTTGTCTGTAAAATGAAGAGAGAATACAGTAGACACCTTGCAGACGGTTTCAACAATGGCCAGCTACTGCTTTTTTTATCTAGTTAGCTTACTGTTATTCAAGTCTGCTTCTTCTTACCTCCATCTGGTTTTATTTTGGGGAGACCGTGAAGAACAACACACAGGAGGAAAGTCGGAGAGGGACACATCCTCAGTGCTCCCTTTAATGTGCTCCCAAGTATCCACACATACCTGGAGAGCAAATGTAAAAGTATAAATGTATGTATTTTTATGTCAAATAACTGTGTTACTGCTTTACTTTTCATCAAGCCGGTTCACTTTACGGTTTCAGACTGGTTTTAGTACTTCACAAGATGATGAATCAGGTGATTAGTACGTGACCCTGCTGCCTAAGGTCAGACGTCACAGCAAACTCCTCGGTCTACATCGCAGATCAGAAGCTAAGACCTGAACCAGAGTTTACCTTTGACCTGCATTGATCCCATCCCGCTCAATCAATCCTGGTTCTTACCGTTTCTGCGAGGGGGTCATCAGAGCGGACAGTTTGTCATTGTAGAACCTCCTCATGGCAAAGTGGTCGAGAGAAAGGTCTGCACTGAGAGAGAGGCAGATATTCAGATAGAGATGCATATAATACTCCTCCGTTCACCTTAACCTGATGTAGTACCTTGCAGATCATTTGATTGGGACAGTCAATAAAACGTCATTCTGTGCAGCCAAACCCACTGGGGGTACGATTTTAAGATGAAGTTCTGGCGAGATGATCAAAAGCAATGGACCTTGTGATTATTTAGTTTCCTTAACCACAGAATTGTATTTTAAATATCTAGTCGAAGTGTCCACAATACCAAACACTGTATGTCACTGGCAATGTCCTTTGAATTCGGAACGTCTATTTGATGAATTTTGAGAATTCCTCAGGGCCCTTCCAGGAAGAAAATAAAAGAGCTAAATTGACACAATCTTAAAAGGTTTTATACAACTGTGTTTACATATGTTATGCAGTAGAACTCCTAGAACACTTTGAAAATACCTTGATGTCTAAGATTAATGGGTGCTTCCTTTAAAAAGTTAGAAATGAAACACGAAAATGGTAATGTGTTAGGAATAACAGGGACATTATTAAAAAGAGTAAGGGTTAAAATGTTACTTGTGAAATGTTTATTTGCACTTTTAACAAAATAACATTTGATTCCCTTTCATTGTTTTGAGAAGGCAGAATACATTTCACAGACAGATTCCAAGAACAAAGAAAACTACAGTACATCTGTATGCTTTGATACCAATAGAGGAAAGTAAATGAATGTGGTGTTGTTAGGTTATTTTTACCTTTGCATACATGCACCAGGATAAGGGACAATGGTCACAATCTGATATTTTTAACAGTGAATCAGCTGTTGAGCCATGAACAGCACATGTACTGCAACTGTGCAGAAATCCATCTAATGTTCCTCATTTGTATCAACATTTGCCTCAAGCTGACCTTTCCCTTCGTCCTATGGTTAGACGTGTGAATGAGGATGTTATTAACTTTTAACAGCTTCAATCAAACCATAAAAAAGAAGATATCCAACCACATTAACCACAAAGGTTGGAATGTTTGTTTTAAAGTACACTCCAGTTACAATGTTTTGTGTCTACTAGGCCAAGACTCTGTCATGCAGGTAAATTAAGAGTTCATTCATTCACTTGTTTCCAACAGCAACAAGATCCCAGCCCGAAAATCAAATAACAGTCGAGTTCAAAGTCTCTTTAATCAGCCGTCCTGCCCTTTGGCTGCTGGAGACGTGCATTAGATCAGCCAATGGTCACTCCATTGTTCTGTCAGTGCTCTTTGATCTGCCAACACGTCAAACAGTAACCAGTATATCTTTAGGAATCACCCTTTGGGAACCAGAAAGATCTGTGCCAAATTGCATTGCAATAAATGCAAGGCAAGGCAAGGCAATTTTATTTATATAGCGCCTTTCAGCACACGACAATTCAAAGTGCTTTACAAAATGAAAACGAAAGACATTTAAGAATTAATACAGCATAAACACATTGTTAAATGGCATTTAAAAACAGGCATAAAAAAGCAAATATAATGAAATAAATAAATAAACACAGCCAGAATGCACAGAATGCATGAATAAAAGGCATACTGCAGCTCAAATAAAAGCAGCGGCAAATATATATGTTTTTAGTCTGGATTTGAAAATAGGAAGTGTTTCAGCGGACGTGCACGATTCGGGCAGTTTGTTCCAGATTGTCGGGGCAATAGCTAAACGCTGCTTTTCCATGTTTAGTTCTTATTCTTGGAACAGAGAGCAGACCCGACCCAGAGGACCTGAGACTCCTGGATGGTTCATAGTTATGCAGGAGATTGTTTATATACCTCGGTCCTAAGCCATTTAGTGATTTAAAAACTAGCAATAGTATTAGTATTTGCTAAAATGCAGTTTTGGTAAATACATATAGTAGATCCCCTAGAGTTTACCTGAAGTTTACTCCAATTATTTCTATATCTGATATAGGTATTGATGTTGCACATTTTAACCAGAAAGCTATAAGGGGCCTCTATCTTTCTCTTGTTCTGCTTTATTTTCTTACATTTTTAGCCACTAGCATTTCTTTCCCACCACTTCTGTGCAGACTGAAATATCTCAATAATTATTGGACCAATTAAATTGGATGGATTTCTCAAACCACCTCTACTTGTTGGGTTAATTTGGGCCTTGTAAGTAATTCACCAGCACTTCTTATGGTATGATCTGGCTTGAAGTGACTATGTCTGCACTTTCCTTCTTGTTCGGAGTTTGATTCTTTATGATTTTTGCACTTATTCTAAGTAGCTTTCGATAAAAGCGTCTACTAAATGATATGTAGCCTAATGTCATTTAATTGACTGTCATCTGACTTTAATCTAGCACCATCGTTTGTAATAAAACGGCCATTACTTAGCGACCAAATACCTGAAACGGATGGTATATTTTTGTGTTAGGTAATTATAAGCAAACCTTTGCATCGGTAAAAGGAAAATGGTTTACATTAGCAAGCTAACACTGCAATGTCATTGTGGCCAAGTGAGCCACATTAGCATTAAGCTAATACAGACTCTCTGACTTGCTAACATGGTTGTCTTGACAGTTGACAGAGTTGTTAATTGCCATCTTATTTATTTTAGTTTGCAAATAATTAAAGTTCAATTCTTGATGAGCATACTTTTTACAACTTATATAAAATTCACATGGCATCAGTGTTACCTGTCTGACATGTTGCTGAAGTGGATGTAAGAAGCCACCAGAACTCCGAGCCGGCCTTTACCTCCCTGTACAGGACAACCACAGAAACAGAAGAGTTTCACTTTCAATACTCTCAGACAGTAAATGGATGAATGAGTGCATAGGAGTCAGTGACGGTTACCCTGCAGTGTAACACCAGGACGTGTTTGGGATGTGTTTGCAGCCAGGTCTTCATCGTTGAGCACACACTGACCATCTGATCCAGGTCAGGAGCGAGGTGATCCACCCAACCCGTGTCCAAAATCTGACAGACAAATCCCCAAAAACTGTGACACCATTTCACTGCAACATTTCACCTCTTAAATTAGTATTTTTTTGTTTTTGTATTACCTTGTGATTCCTTTGGGTGAGGGTTTCATGTTTCTGTGAGAGGTTGATGAGCTAAAGAAAGCAGATATTTTAGTCATGAAAAAAAAAAGAACAGCTTTGAAAAAGTGACTTTTTTGAATGTCATTCAATCTTCTGTTGAAACATTCAAGCCTATCATTATCTAAATTGTTGAAATATATATGCTACATAAAATATTGTGTGTGTACTTGAACGTTACTTAAGTAGTGCTTGGTATTCTACTTTATTCTAAAACTCCTCTGCCATTTAGAGGAATATTGTACATTGTACTTCACTATTCACGATTAATTATAAAGCCTTTGGTTCTTAGTTGCTTTTCAAATTCACATTGTTAACACAACATATTAATCCAAGCTGATGTATTTTCATTCAACTACCTTTCAGTATGTAACAAAACAAATACGCCAGCCTGTTACCAGCTGCGATAGTGATATGCTGATAATGCATCCAAAATACATTATTCTGAAATGCTCCATTATGCATAATAATTACTTAATTCTTTGCTCTTTCAGTATAGTTCAATGATACAAATACTTTTGTTTCACTGCTGAAGTAAAACATTAAATGCAGGAGATTTGCTGAAATATAATAATGTAATATTTCCTCCACTCTCCTCACCATGTAGTGGTGTCCATGCTTGGACTGCAGCATGAGGAGGATCTCCTGCAGGTTCTGCAGGTAGATCTCCTCTGGACATTCAGGTGGGCAGAAGATGGTGATGATGCGTTCAGTGATGTAGGTCAGATCGATTCGCTGGGGTTCCTCCATGATTGATCTCGGTCACATGGGAGCCCTGCAGTAAGTGAAATGCAGGTTGTGTGTGAGAACGAAAGTCATGGACATTTTAGGGAAGTGAGGACTTTCACTGAAGGTCAGCAGATGTTTGCAGGACATTTTTAACTGAGCATGTATCAGCTGCCCTCCAATTGATATCTTCGGCCTACACAGATACATGAGTTCAAACACGGTCAGACCTTGAATCCTACAGGATGTGAAACTTAACAAAGTGGGGTCATTTCCAGACAAAATGAGGAACTGAACCATAAGCTGAGTCACTGGAAATCTTCATTTGGCCTTAACCACAGGAAGGTGATGATAAATAACCAAAAGATCATAATGTTCAAATAGTAACTTCATTACTCATCAGCAAAACTCTACTAACTTGAAACACAGATTCTGACAAGGACGTAAAACTACAACCTTAAAAGTATTAGGTTCTATCTAAAGATTTCTCACATGACCATAATGTTGTGTGTATGTTTATTTATTCAGTTAAGCTTTGTTGGTCGTATAGGCTTCAAATCATTTTTCTAGTTTGCTTCTAAAAGCTTAAAGGTAGGTAAGAATGGAGAAACCAGCTCGAGTGCGTTGAAAGTAGACAACCGAAAATAATCTGCCCCTTCCTTCAGACTTCCTTACAGTGCCACTCCTCCAACACACACGAACTTGCACATGACCAATGAGGGCACGAAATAAGTTTGTGCACGAGATCATCACGAGTTATTTCAGCCGGGCCGAGGCAGATGATTGGTCGTGCTTTTTACAGCGCCACGGCTTCCACAGATGAAATATTTGTATATATTTATTGTTAAAGCATTTAATATATTTATTGCTTTCGGGATGTTAAGAGCATTACATGGAATATAACAAAAAGTGTTTCTGAAGTGAATTATCCTACCTTTAAACAGCTAACAGAGTTCTGCGTCTTTACAGTACTGCCTCACGAATCAGTTATTATCTGTGTTTATATATTTAAAAAAAGCTTTCAATAAACATCAAATCTCAAATGGATACTTTAGCGCTTTTGGGAAATGATTCTTCTGTTTCTGGAACAATCATTTAGGTGATATCTATGTGTAGGTGATATCCATTTGTAGTACAAAATAACCCCTAACATACATTTTCCCCTGAAAAACCAAATGTTTTCAATGTTGTTTTCGTGTAAATTGTGTGAAGGGTTAGCTGTTTCCAGTATTTGTGACAAGTTAAGCTTAAAATGTATTTCAAACATACAAATATGAGTGGACATAAGAGTAACAGTAAGATAAATAAGTAGACAAGGGGACTTCCTATCTTTTTTCTCTTTCTTTTTGTATTATCGTTTACACAATTTGTATCTGTGTATATACCTCCCTCTGTAAGGACAACTAGAAAACATTAAAAAGATGGTCACGAAAAACTTTGAAACCTTAGCTTATTAGTGTCTTATTAAGCTAGGCTAAATGAAATGCTCGTTGATAATATGGGCACTTGATACTATGGGCACTTGTAAATGTCTATAACTATGTAAATGTATCCTGTAAATATAATGTATGATGTCCTTTATTGTTTTATGTTTCATGTGGAACCTATATGCTGCAGGTCTCCTTGAAAAAGAGATCTATGATCTCAATGGGACCAATCTGGTTAAATAAAGGTTTGAAATGAAAATGAAAATTAATTAATTTCCATTAACTCTTCAAAAATCACAAAGGGGTTTTCATTTGACAATTGTATCTTGTTGAACAAAACATACAAGTACATTTATTTATTTTTTACAATAATCCAAAATCTGTTGAAAAAAACCCATTGGTTTGTTTTTGCGGGAACCCACTGTCATCCCTGTAGCAATCTATTTAAGGTACCTGGTCCCATGTCATGGCCATTTCTACTGATCATAATTCCATTGTTGAGGTTGTGGTGATTGACATTATTCACCCACGGATCTATGGTTTGGGGTATTGTTCTGCACGGACATTTTAGTGAACCGGACTTCCTGTTTCCGCCGGTCTTCGCTTCCCGGGCATGAAGTTGTTTACATGTGTTTTACATGCAAGATGCTAAATAAAAGTCTAGCTTGTACCTTCGATACCCCGCCTCCGACTCCCGTCTCTCGGCACTACATTCGTGACCTCGACATAAGTCTCGTTGAAGGATCCGAGACTGAACCGAGCATGGCAAGTAACGCCGTTTTTTTTCAAACTGCCGAAGTTTTGGGAGACATCTGCGGCTGCATGGTTCACTCAGGCGGAGGCTCAGTTCACCCTCCGCGGAGTGACTGACGACGCAGCACGCTATTTTCACGTAGTTTTGGTGCTGGGGAGCTCCACTGCGACCCGGAACGGTGGGCTTATTACATCTCCTCCTGCCCAGGATATAAATATGCAGCGTTCAAGGCTTTTCCTGCTAAAGACTTTCGAGCTGTCACGGTCGGAACGGGCCCGACGCCTGCTCGCTATTCATAGCCTGGGGGACAACAAGCCATCTGACCATATGGAGGATGATGCTCAGCCTGCTGGGTACGGAAGAACCTAATTTTTTGTTCATAGAACTGTTTCTTCGGCACACGCCGCCGCATGTACAGACAGCGCTCGCTAATACGCTATTACTGAGCCCCGCGCTTTGGCGAAGAAGCCGACCGGTTCTTCCTGGCAACACAGCGTTTGCCCCAGAGGTGCTGGCCCCGACATGCAGCGCGGCAACCTTCCCTGGTACAGGCATGCACCTAGCAGAAAGCTCCGGGGGCCGACGGTTAGCAAGAAGACGTGAGGTCCTGGGTCGACTCGTGCGTGGCCTGTAAACGGGCCAAAGTCCACCGCCATACTAGGGCCCCTTTTGAACTTTTTGCGGTTCCTGAGAGGAGGTTTGGACCATGTCAATGTCGACCTTGTGGGTCCGATCCCCCCTCTCACGGTTTTCACCTACGTGTTTACAATGGTGGACAGGACAACCCGCTGGCCGCGAGGCACGTTCCCCTCGCCTCGAAGTCAGCTTCCGACGTCGCCCGCGCTTTCATCGGCACGTGGGTGGCGCGCTTTGGACCCCGTCTGACCTCTCCTCTGACGGTTCTCAGTTTCACCTCGGAGCTGTGGAACGCTGTTGCTGTGGGTTTTGGGGGTGAAGCCTGCACCGCACCACCCCCAGGCTAACGGGATTGTGTGAGTGGTTTCACCGTCCATTGAAGGCGTCACTGTGTGCGGCTTTGACAGACGGCAACTGGGTGGATAAGCTCACGTGGGTTATGCTCGGCCTCAGGTGTGCCCCCAAAGAAGACCTCCTCGTCGGCGGAGCGCTCGTCTATGGCCAGACGCCTACAGGGTCCCCGGGGAATTCATTCCCACCGCCACTTTGCCCTGGTCTGCGGCCGGACAGCGCTCCTCCCTGCTGGAGACCGCCGGGACATTGCGCCCGTCCCCACATCGCAGCACAGCAAACCCAGCTTTCCGGTTGTCCCCCGGATTAGAGTCGGCGGATTTTCGTTTTTTTTTATTCGCCACCGCTGCCGCCCACCGGCTGTCCCCTGCGGCCCCCTTTACGATGGTCCGTTCAAGTCACTAACGTCACCGTGGCAACCCAAGAGCCCTGGTGGTGGAACGTTGGTGGCCAGCCCTGAGACTGTGTCCTGATGCGGATTAGAGCCTGCTCCACCGTCAAAGAGTGGAAGTATAAACACACAAGTTGGATTGGTTCTGCCCCACGTCGCACCCTCCCATGGCCGCCCCCCGCCCCCTGTGGGGAATCCCTCGCCCTCGTTGGCAGCCCCTGTCCTCGCTGCGGCGCCCGCCCTCCTCGGCCCCTGTGGTCCGTACACGCCGGGGTCGTGGTCACTTCCTCCCACGCACGAGGATTTGACTATGGTGAATACTGGGGTTTGTGTTATCGATTGACATTATTCACCCCACCCGGAATCTATGGATTGGGGGTATTTGTTTAGCACCGGACATTTTCATGATAATAATAATAAAATAATAATAATAGCCTGGATTTAATATAGCGCCATCTTCCAAGGGAACGCCAAGGTCGCTTTACAAGTAATAGGCAAACCAAAACATAAACCAACCAAAAGTCAGACAGCACAAAACACAGATCGATTAGGGGCCCGAAAGCCTTGGCAAACAGATGCGGAACTTGAGGGGGCCTTTTGAAGGCGTCGAGTGCGATGTGTGAACTCCGCAGGGAGAGCGTTCCATGAGGGTGGGGGTTTGCNATTTTCCAAGTTTTAGATGAGTACATCATCTCAAACGGACTTGACTGGTCTCGTTGTGTGGGTGTGTGTTCAGATGGGGCAGTGGGGCTATGACAGGCAAAGAAAGTGTGACAGCTTCGATCAGGCAGAAGGCCCCAAATGTAGTGGCAACGCACTGCATGTTCAATCGGGAGGCACTTGTACACATCATTTAAAAAGAAAAATTGCAACAGGGGGGTCCCCGCCAGAGGATAATGCTATATGGGGGTCCTTGGCATGGCAAAGTTTAGGAACCCCTGCTCTAGAAGATGCTTGTGATTCCTGCTTGCGACCGCATGTTTTGGAAGCTCGCCCCAGAAGCGCTTTGCCACTCGTTTCAGGGGCGATGTATGTGGCATTGAACAGAGCAGATCGCGCCGGGCATGAAGTGCAAAGGCTGATAATCCGGTAAATTATAAAAGTATACCCTTTGCAGAGCCAATGGTTTCATATCAATAAAGTGGTGCAGTGATGATGTATTCTTGTAGGCCTTATCGTTAGTTAAAAGATAACGTAAAGCTAAACAAAATACATCACAGTTGCATGACTCCACATTACCATCGCTAAGCTTAAGGCGGACTTGAGTTTGGCTTGATGACGTTTAACAGATCTTATTTGGTCATTTCTTAGCAATCACCTGTCTTAGGACATGTGAAAGCTTCAGACATAGAAGAAAGGATATTTGCCGATATATTTGATGTGGTCGAACAAAACGTATACATTTTGTGCATCCAACCAAAATATAATTTAAAAAAACCATTGTCTTTCCGAAGAGGAAACCAGTGTGTGTATCAATACGTAACCCGGGCAAGCTGGATTTGGTAAGTCACCAATTTTGGAACAGCTAAGCATTGTCTACATAAATGGTGAATATATAATTCTACCCACTTTTAAAACGTGGAGGTGGACATCCATGCATAATTGTGTTGAACTAACGACGTGTGTTTGTGCACGAGCATGCAAAAATCACAGGGACAATGAACACAGCACGTTCTTTTCGCCTGGCGCACACACACCAACAAACGCACATTTGCTTTCTCTTTACACAAACACATAAAGGCTATACCTTTTCACTATTTGGATATTGAATTGAATGAGTTAAAATAGTTTTTTTTATGAATCATCTTTTAAATAAATGCTTTTTGGAATATACATGCTCTCATGTTTCATTTACAGGAATTGATTGAATTATTAATGAGAATTCCTCATTTGAAGTCTAGTATATTTGCTGAAACAATTGATATTATCAAATATTAATTATCATTAATAACCAGACATGCTCATACTATTTCCCAATACCAGTGCTTTGTGTCAACACTCTGCAACACGGCTAATGTATGACGCACTTCATTGGGGATAAATGTGATACTTTGAAAAGTGAGAGTTGATGTGCCAATTCTTCCCATAATTTTCCTACCAAAGAATGCTTTTAAACACCAATGCAATCTTCTCTAACCTTAACCAAGAAGATTTTGTTTCCTAAATGCAACCAGACATGGCGTGGCAGAGCCGATAATGCTCATATGAGTGGAAAGAGTATGAATACCTTTAGAAGGCGTTGTGAAACTGCATATATTGTCCTTTATATACAAGGACACCTTGCCTAGACTTGACAAGACTCAACATAACTCCCTTCCTATCGTTACATGGGGCAGAGGATCATAGATTTGGCTTTCGATCTGGCTCTTCATATTGTCCACAACCCCCACCAGAAGATGCTGAGAAACAGAAGTCATGGTCTGACAGAGACATACAGTAGAGTGAATAAATGCAGCAATAGTGGTCGAGGCAGGGGGGAGCAGAGAAAAAAAAAGGAGGATGGGGGAAGGGAGTGCAGAGAGCAATACAGGGGAATGGGTGAGGGGTATGTTATGAGGTTGTAAGAGAGCCAATGCATGAGATAGTGAAAAAGTGAGGGATTGGAAAAGAGAGAGAAAGAGAGGGAGGCAGAGAGGTGTTGGTGCTTTTAAAATAGCCTACGTGGAACACCAAATCCCCTCAGCAGCACAAATCAGCTGACTGACTGCCACTTGCCAAGGAGAAGGTGGGGGTGTTGGGCAGAGCAGGGCTTATAACTCTCTCCACTGACACATTCACCGTGCAGAGACGAGACAGAGCTTTACCCATGTTGGCCCTGGAGAACTCTATCCTGTCTAAACATAGACCTCCTGGTGCACTGGGGGAAGATGAGGGAGAACGGCATGGAAAGAAAGAGAGTGGGAAAGAAAGAATAAGGAGAGATCAGCTGTCTTTCTCTTGTTATTCAGGCGGTGGTATTTCAGAACTGTATTACACTCTTGATAGCTTAATAATAAGACCGATTTTAGAGGTCTTCCTATGCATTGAAAGTTATCTCTATCCTAAGTTTTTCCAACTAAAATGTTGGTTTCATCCAACAAATTAAACAGACTCAGTACTGACATTGGGTATCAAACGTATCAAGAATATAGTTTAGGTATCATTACAGGAACATTTCAAACTGAATCCAGTAGGAATGCAAATCAAACGTTTTATCATGATGCATTATTATTTTGATTCTTTGGAAAGTTGTACTATATCTGCTGATTTAAAAAAGGTCTGCCATGATTTTGAATAGATTCAAGGGCTTGTGTTTGATATAAAACAATATCCTATGCCCATTAACACATTCTGTTTATATCAACTAAAATGTAATTTGACAATTGTTTTCCTGGATTATCTTAGACACTTCAGTGAAAGATGATCTATGCTTTTGAATAAGATAATAGATTAATTGTGTTGTCGTTGAAGATTTGGTTGGCGTTCAAGCCTGTGAGCAGCTTTTCACTAAAATAAGGAAATAGCTGTCCAACTTAAAGGTCAGGTCACCTTTAGTCATACTGGGCTGTTTGTTTAAGCTAATTTAGGGGTTAACACAATTCACTTTTGTCAGCAGGTGGAACTTGGCTTGAGTATTAAGTTGGAGCATTTATTTACTGAAAGAAATGAACACTCACTGCGCTGCTACACACAGCTATAAAGTTTCTGTTACTCGCTGTCACACACACTCTCTATCTCACACTCTGCAATGTAATGTTGCTAACACTGCTCACTAATTTCACTTGCACGGCAGTTTAACAGCAATATCTATTGATGTTTCAACCTTATACCCATGATTTAGAATAATTGGTTCCTAAATCAATAGATTAGCCCAGATCGATAGAACGTAACACCTGACCAATCCAAGTTTTGGGAAAACGCAACCTTATCAATTGACGTTAAAAGTTTAACATAATTGACATTACATTTGTTTTTAGCCAATTATCCTGGTCTACGTTGTAGTGGCAGCCAGTTAAGATCCCAAAAAAGAACTGGGCGTCCCACAGCGAAGGGCCACATTCAAGTTGGGGTGAAAAGTCAGCTATTATAGAGAGGGGCAAATTAATTGTATGGGAATAACAACACGTATTTTAGCCAGCAGGCCAATAACTACTTGAAGGGAGCATGATTGTCGGTTTCAGAAAGTTCAGAAATTGGCATGCATAGCCATGTAAAATTTGGTCGGAGAGGTGTTGCAGGAGCGTGTTTAAGAAGCTGTTAAACCATGCAGCATTGAACAAATAGTTTTTTAGTTGTTTGAGGAAAAATATATTTTTAAATGACCTGAAGTATATAACAGTTCAAAAATATCCTGTCAAATAAGCATTGCTTATCATATTGGCAGCTTTGTTTTGATCCCAGTATTTACTTTAATGACACTTTTTTGAAGTGTGAATATTTCCTGGACTGCAATCACAGGCTTGTCTCTGATGTAAAATGTTTCCTGTTAGCGATTAGTATAAACAATATTTTAAAATAATACTTAGACATGGAAGGTGGGTGACAAAGGGAAGGATAGAAAGAAAGCAACACGGAAAAAAAGGCTACATAATTGATTTTCCTTTTTTCTCTCAATATGTCTCCCTCTCTACTGAAAGTCCAGCCGGTTTCCTGCTTTCCCAGAATAATGCACAGTTTATGAGGCAGGCAGAGGGCCATGCTTTATAAATGGCATTGTCTAAACCATGGGTCTAAACCCCTATGCGCTCTCTCTGGCTCTCTCTCTCTCTCCCTCCCCTTCCTCCCTCCTCCACTCTCCATGGCAGTTCATGGCATTTGTGTGCATGCCTGAAACCGTCTGACAACTGTGGATAAGCAGAGCCAGGGTGTTGTTGTGTCAAAGTGGAGCCAGCATACAGTTGTTGTATATCTTTTACATTTTGAGCATTTTTTGTATTCCTAGCACTCTTACCTCCCTCCTTCCCCTCCCTTTTCCAAATGGTAGAACTGTCACTGTCACACTTTTACCCTCACCCCTGCAAGATTGCGGTGAAAGGTGACCAGCAAATTGTTACCCAGTGCTGCTGAAATGTTCCCTTGAAAACACTTTGCGAATACAAAGGTTATTTGGCGGAGGAGATGGCAAATCTTTTATATCTTCTGCCTTGTCTTACATAGAGCCACAGCCTCAGTTTTTTCCCTGTGTCGCTCGGTTCTCACCCTTTCTCTTCGTTACTCCTTCCTAACTGTCTCTGCTTTTTGTGTGACTAACATCTTGGACGATGAGGGTGGAAAAAAATGCTAAACCGCCGTTAATGAATATCAGAGACGGGTGTGTCAAATGTTTGTGATTCATATCCTCTGTTA